ATAGAGCGCAGAAGCGCTATCGCGGAAGCGGGTGTGGGACCGGCAAGAAGCTGCGAAACCCTGAAGCCAGAAGGGTTTTTATATTCATTTTTTGTTCCGCGAAGCCTATGTTATTTCACCATTTTTTTAAGCGAGCTTGAGAGCTAATTTGGACGGAATTGAAAGGGGATTTCGACGGGGGTAATTAATGAGAAGTAAGATTTCTGAACCTAAAACATGATTAGTATGTGAAAAATTATAACCTAGAAATTTATGAATTAAGCCTTAAATTGAGGAACTAGGCGCTTGGGATTTTGAATATTTCAAATTGGGATTTGATAGGTTTCATTGAGCTCGGATTTGGGAGTTCCTTGGTATGTTATGGACTTCATGGTTGAGACGAGGAATCCAGGGTAATGTGAATTTCGTAATTTTTCGAGAAGCGCGGCCCGGTGCTCGGGTTTTCTAGTTTCGAGATTCTTGCTAATTTTCGATTGTTTTTCGATGGGTTACTGTTCCCTTGGCATATCATAATGTATTTCGCTCTGATTTTGTGTTAGAATTCGACCGCCGTGCAAGACCGATTCGAGGGGCAAAGGCGGTCGCGAGCTAGGATTTCACCGGTTTCGAGTGAGTAATACTTGTAAATGATATCCTTGAGGGTTTTGAAACCCCCGATTTGCACTATCATCAGATGCTTGTTATTGTGCGTGACTTGCACGCCAGGTATGAGCGTGGGGTAGAGCACAGTTGGGGATTGTGACTGTAGTCCGTACTGGTGTTGGTTTTTTATGCGTAATTGACTGAAACTACTTGTTATCATCATTATTGGTTGATCTGATCATTTGGGCTTCGTTGCCAATTATTTGAATCCTTTAGGGACTATTATCACTGTTTCATGACACTTAGCATGATTAAATGATTCAGTCCTAGTTAAACCCTGTTTTGAAATTGTAGTCATATGCTAAAGTTTTAAAGACTTTAAATTGCATTTTTCTGATGTTTTTGAGTTAAAAAGGACTATACCTGACATTGCCGAGTGGGCTCATTTGCGTTCTGGACTGAGGATGGATCGGCTGCACGCCGCAGCCGATGCTATGATGATATTGGTCTGGCCTATGTAGGAAGCCTTTCCGGAGTCTGAAACCCCCACATGTGAGCGCGGGTACCCAGATGGATCGGGTTGCACGCCGCAACGGTGCATATGCATTGCATTGCATTCATGCATTGGTTCCTGTTTGTACTACGCTGTCATGACATTTTAGCACTTCATTCATTGGCATCCATGCTACTCTTGTGTACTGCTTATCAACGCCCTGGTGTTTAATTGGTTTGTGGAGTGCTGTGCCCGAAGGGGCTTGATCTAGTGCGGACTTCACTATCTGATTACGCATTCATTTGGCTCGATTGTTGGAAAAAAGATGTTTTCAAAAAGAGGTTTTAAACTGAGTCAGATATTTTCTTAAAGGATTTTCACGGTTTCATTGTTTTTCTGAGAGAGTTGTTACTGTCCTATATAGTGATGGAGTGCTCTTTACGTGATTCTTGACTCTCAGTTATTATTTACTCTTTTACCACTGAGGTATGGAAGTACTCCACTTTACTCCCTTCTGCCACCTCGCGTGCAGTTGCAGGTTATTGTTTCACCGGTAGCGGGTTATTAGCATGATTGAAGGTAGGGACTATTGTAGCTGAGCCAAGATGGACCACCAAGCATTCGCGCACCGGATGTTGTCTTTGATTTTTCCAGGAATTTTTCTTTATATATTATTATGGCCCTGTAGTTGTGTTCAGGTTCTCTTTAGATGCTCGTGACTTTGTACCACCCCGGTCGGGTATCAAATTTTAACACAATTTTAAATGCCCATTAAAGTTGTATCTTCTATCTATTTATGTTTGATAATTGTTAATTGATAAAAGGATTTGGGTTAGTTTGGCTGGCCTTGTCTTCACGAGAGGCGCCATCACGAACCAGGTTGGAATATGGGTTCGTGACAAGCGCATTGAATAAAATTTTTTTGTTTGGTATTTTTCTTTATTATATCATCTAATATTTAATATTATTACATTTTTAATAGAAAATTATTATTAGCATATTTACTTTATTTAATATTTTTCTCTGAAAGTTTTTAATTTCTTTTTTTTCGTTTTTTTATTTTAAAATAATTTTTAAAACTCCAAATTTGAAACTACCCCAAATTTGATGGTAATTCATTATTTTTTAAATTTCATTTTTTATTTTTTAAAATTATTTTAAAATCAACTTTGAAACTTACTTCCCGATTTGAATGGGTAGTTCTTCTCTTTTTTTCATTTTTTTATAGCTATTTTTTTTGCCTTTTATTTTAAAATAATTAAAAACTCCAACTTGAAACTACTTTCCCACCCAATTTGATGCGGTTAGTTATTTTTTATTTATATTTTATTTTTCGTTTTTTATATTTAATTATAGATATCTATTATTGACTAATCCCAATAAATAACCATACATACATACATACATATAAGTATACATAATACATTACCATACATATACAATATATATACATAATATACATAAATATACTATATATAGTATATATATATATAATATTTACCGTTTGAATTTTTTTTATTTTTTAAATTTATTCTATTGTTCTTAATAATATTATCTAAATTTTAATGAAAACAAAATCTCTGTTAAACAACGGACGTTATTACAGGGAGCGCATTGAATAAACTTTTTTGTTATGTATTTTTTTTATATATATCATCTGAAATCTTAATATTATTAACATTGTTAAATAGAAGTTTTTATTAACCAATATTTTAATATTCGCTTTTTCTTTTTTCATAATATGAGAAGATTTATAATTTATTACTTTTGAATATATTTTTTTTTATTTTTAAATTTATTTATTTATTGTTCTAATAATATTATTAAATTTTAATGAAACAAATCTGTTAAAACAACGGACTTATACAGGGAGCGCATGAATAACTTTTTTGTTATATATATTTTTTATTATATCATTCTAAATATATATAAGTTATTATTACATTGTTAATAGAAAGTTTTATTAGGCATATTACTTTATTAAATATTTTTCTCTGAAAGTTTTTGTGTCTTTATTTTCGGTTTAATTATTATTTTAAAATAGTTTTAAAAACCTCAACTTGAAAAACTTTAAATCCCCAATTTTTGAAAATTTGTAATTTATTATTTTTTTAATTTTTTTTTTTTTAAAATATTATTTGAAACTCCAAACTTGAAACTACATCCCGATTTGAATGCGGGTAGTTTTTCTTCTTCTTTCTTCGTTTTTTCTTATAAGCTAATTTTTTTTTGCTTTTATTTTTAAGATATTTAATAAATGTCCAACTTGAAAACTACTCCCACCCCAAATCTTGAGTGGTAGTTATTTTTTTTATATATTATTTTTATTTTTTTTTTTATATTTAATTATAAGATATCTATATTTATTAATCCAAATAATAAGTAACCAATTAATCACATACATTACATACATAATTACATACATAATATATATATATAATACATACATACATAATATAATATTTATAATATATATATATATATATATATATCTTTTATTTTATTTTCTTATTTTCTTTTTTTATATATTTAAATTCAAAAATAATAACCAATAACTAATTATAAACTAAATAACTATTATTGTGGCAGTTTTTTTAAAGGTTGCCACTTGACTTAAGGAGAGGGCTTTTTCCTCTCCTTTTAATAATATATACATATAGATTATCTGAGTGATTTATTTAATTCTATTTTTCATTAAGGATAATAGTCTAAAAGATATGTAAGAGACTATGGCAGTTTAGGAGTCTTTTTCCTTAAAAATTATTTTTTAAAAACAATTGCAAGATTCATTTCAATAATTTAAACCTCATCATATAAAGCCTGCATTAACAAACATTTGGAATTTCAATAATTTAGTTACAATCACATGTTTCTAAAAAAAATTGTTTTTAGCTCTAAAGTAAAATTTATAACAAATACTTTCAATAGTAAGGGATCGTTTTGATTATGAACTATCGATTTTGTAAGATACAAAAAATGTCTATTTAAATATTTTTTTTTCTTTAAAAAATACCTACCATAACTTGAATTATACACAAAATTTAATTAAGATACCTATAATAATGTATATTGTTCCCAAATAAGGTTAGATACAAAACTTATACAAAATAAAAAATTATTATTTCAACTTAAAATTAGTGTATAAGATTTTCAGTGAAATTTTAATTGATTCTTGCTAAAAATAGGATACCAACCATAATTGAATTATACACAGATTTAATTAAAGATACCTATAGAAAATCTTGGACTACTACTTTCATTAAATATTTTTCCATTTATAATCCAAATTTTTTATGTTGTCTTAAAATTGCCAAGTGGCTTCGTTTTAGCTTGCCACTTGGCTTAACCATATTGCAAACTACTCTCCTTTTAATATAATATAGATTATGTTATCTTCCCATTAACTTAATAAATTTGTGGAGATAATTTGGTTAATAATTATCAGCTACTTACGGTAACAAGAACATGTGTCCCTTTAGCAATCACTTCCTTTTCCTTAAGAAGAAAGTAATCCTCTTTTTTTATTTAAGATTAATACTTTTGATGCAAAGTTCAAAAAAATGAAAACCAAGAAGAACATGGCTTTTGTATCGCCTGTTTTGAAGAGATAAGGTCGGTGGTCAATTCTAATATATAAGCATACTAGTGGGAATGGCCCGGGCTCACTTGATAAAAATAGAAATAAATTGCTTTCTATAGAGAGCAACTTGCATTTTGATCAATTATGTAATAAGATATGTGGGTTGATTTGTTAAACATTATGGTCTCTAGGATGAAGTGCGTCGTAATCCCTTTAAATTATCTTTTGGATGGCAGTAAGTTTCTTTCGATTCAGTCTTAGAAAGTTGGATATATAGCAAAGTGAAGAAAACAAATTCAAGCCAAAAAAAGGAGGTCATATTTACTACCAGTCTTTCAACCCACTATTTACATCAGTTACAACGCCAATATTTTTTACCGGCTAACAAAAAAAATATAAATGTACATGCCAGTAAGTTACACAAAGTGAATTGTATTGTCCAAGTTTTCTGCAATATTGGAAACAAAACGACGTCAGTAAGGGCAAGTGGTAACATTTTCTGGTAGCTGAAAAAAGTAGGGGTTGTTCTTTGCATTACCTGTCAAACAGAAGTTGGCGATCTTCAAAACACATATTTACATAGCAGGATAAGACGCATATACATGCATTTTACATAGTTATAACACCCTGCGAACAAAACAGACGTAAGATCTATAATGATGCCTTTTTTCGTCAACCAAAATTTTTTATCAGTAAACCACAATTTATATTGAAAAATATGTTGCATAATCTTAGTCAGTTATACCAATACAAGGGAAATAAAAGTGCAAGGTAGAAAGTATAGATCAATTCAAGCACAAGAATGTCTTAGAAAACCTGTACAGATAAAGTAATACTACTTTATAAGTATTTTTTTTATCAGGAATAAAAAGTGCAACAATACTGGATTGAACAAAATAAGTCAGTCAATCCAGCAGTTATGTAATATATTATCATAGGAACTTAGAGAATTCTTTCCTAGGCATGATACTGGAATATTACTAATGTTTAATGAAAGATAGTGCACAAGGAAAGGATGGGTCAATTTGCCTTCTAAATTTCAACAAATATTTGTCAACAATCCTATAAGAACGTTCATATAAAGTCAATCCAATTCCAGAATCATTATTGCATAAAACTTGGACATTAACAGTAAATTGTCCATTCAAATTATTTACATTCCTTTAAAAATGGCTTCTACTTTTCATGGATTTTCCTCTCATAGAAGAGCATAAGAATCGTTTAGTTTTTCCAAGCGTATCATCAGATACTTAATTGCATCAAAGGTCGATGCAGTGTGTAAGAACACACAGAAATCTAAAGGAGGTAGAAAACGAAGCAAGAAGTACTCACTTGTTCCAACCAGCAAGCAGAGAGATCAAAAGGAACAGAGCAGTAAGCCAGGAAACTCAAGCAGAACAGAAGCTGGTGCATATATTATTGGCGTCACCCCTAATCGGATATCCATCCAAATACAGGTCTTAAACATCTGGAGAGACAGCTGACAGCAGCAGAAGCAAGAACTGGTTTGTCTTCCACGTTGATGGGAAAGGCACGTATAGGAGAGCGCGCGAAGTGAAAAGACGCTACAAAAAATAAAAAGTGAGCAGGGTGACAAAAATACTCCGACTTTTGATCCAAAAAAGTGACCTAATTGTAAATCGGAAGTAGGACGAAGAAGAGTCCAACTCCCGCTTCTAAATAGTACTCCCTCTGTTCCAGTTTATGTGAACCTATTTCCTTTTTGGTCCGTTCCAGAAAGAATGAACCCTTTCTAAATTTGGTAACAATTTAGGTTAAAGTTACAACTCTACCCTTAATGAGAAGCTTTTATAACCACACAAATACTCTGGGCCCCATTTGGACTTGTTTAGGAACACAAATTCCAAAAGTCTTCATTTTTTTCTTAAACTCCGTGCCCAGTCAAACAGGTTCACATAAATTGGAACGGAGGGAGTAATAAATTTGAAGAAAAAGAATTTAAGAAAAAAAAAGAATATGAAAAGTATATACTCCTATAAAGTATTAAGTAATAGTATTAGAAGCATTACCTAAATGTCGGCCACCCAATCGCTCAACTAATTATTGTAATCAAGAAATGTACAATATATATATATATATATATATATATATATATATATAAATCCTAANTATATATATAAAATTTATCGGGTAGGAGCTAACATACGATGGCCGAACCCAGTAGCTTTGATCAAACCCCGTATTTCTTTTAAGAATTTCATTGATTATGTATAAGTAAAAATTGCATGGGGCTCCCTATTTGGTCGCCCCCTTTTAACTTATACCCGTTTTGTTTTTTCGTTTGCATCCATACCCATTTTTTTGTTAACAACGTTTTAAAAAGACGATATTTCTCTTATTTAATAAAAGACTATTGACAAACTGCAGGACATAAACTTAAGCATGTTACGTTTAGGCTGAAGTTTTAGCAAGTGAACTAAAAAAACTTCAGCTCGTTTAAACTGAAGTTTCGGATAAACTCATGACAAAACTGTAGACTGTATTACAAAACTTCGCATGTTGTGATATGAAGTTTTAGCAAATGAACTAAATAACTTCAGCATGCATTAGCAAAAACTCTTTAGAAAATTACATACTGCAAGACAAAAACTTAAGCATGTTTAGTCTGAAACTTTAGCAAATGAACTAAAAAACTTAAGCATGTTTAGTCTGAAGTTTTAGCAAATGAACTAAAAAACTTAAGCATGTTTAGTTTGAAGTTTCGGATAAAATTCATGACAAAATTGTCTATTAAAGGATATATAACTTCAGCATGAATTAGCATGAAGTTTTAGCTTCAATCTGAAACAACTTCATGCTATTTTAGCATGAAGTTTTAGGTTCGTCATGAAACAACTTCATGTTACATTAGCATGAAGTTTTAGCTTCAACGTGAAACAACTTCATGCAAGTGTGATTCTGAAGATGAATCTGGATAAGTTTCTAATTTTTTGATAAAGCTGCTGAGAGGAGAGGAGGAGATCTTTTTTCACGAATGAGGTTGCAGATCACGCGATTAATGCGTGATGCAGGTTTTATATCTTTTGTCAGGGGTGTAATTGTCATATTATTATAAATTTTTTGTCAGCTGGCTACCAAATCAATAATATTTTAAAATAGGGTACATGTTAAAAGGTGTCACAAATATAGGATACGACTGCAAATCCCGCTATATATAAACTATTAATTTAGAACCCAGTAACTTGATTTGAATCCTGAACCCATAAGTTTCAAATCTTGGCTTCGCCTTTAATAATTTATACATAACATGTATATAATATTATATATATTCATTGAATCATTTGGGATCTTAATTTGAACCATTTAAAAGTCAATTCATTGATAGAAAAATCTTGTCCTATATCATTAAATATCGATTTTTCATATATAGATATAACTAATATATTTCCTTTGCAAAGGATTTTTCCATATCGGTCATTACTTTTGCTCGATGGAATGTATTTGTTTTTTTTTCTTTTCTTTTAGAAGCACTCTATTCATATTCTCACAGTACGACCTCCTATCATTGTATTTGAATAATGGTTGATTTCAAATATACTTTTAGGGACTCGGTATAAGAAGTGGATTTAAAATTATATTGATGAATTTATATATATATATATAGAGTGTGGACAAAAGTTATTCACGTAACTCGTAATCAAGATCTGCCAATCTCGTTATACACAGATGCAGAGTTAAGATTTCAAACTTTTTGGTTCGGGATCCTAAATTTTTTTAAGTTAGTGAGTTCTAAATTAATAATTTATATATATTTAATAAAAAAAATTAAGACAAATACATGATTTGAACCAAAATTACTGTTCGGCCGAACCCATAACCGATACTGTGGCTCCGCCTCTAGACTTATACGTTAGAGATGGGAAGGTATACATGCATGCACCATACCCATCCCTTCTCCTATCCCTACCCTATCCTTTTAATTATTTCCAACCCCAATTTTTCATTTTAATTAAAGATACCAAAGTGAGAGAGCACAAAATTTATACTTTTATACTTATTCGGTAGTCGGCGTAAAGGCAGCTAAATTATTGGAATTCATTGAACATGAGATAAGTTTAGAACCGTATCATTCTACACCATTGAATTTATTCTTTCAGTCAGTGGATAGAGCTTGTGGAATCAGATGTGGATCCACTGCATATTTGATTTATTAGGTTCGAAATTTACCTTTTTTTTCGTACATATTTTAGAAAATTGTAACACATATATAAGGTCTAAGCTTTTAAGATTTTGAGTTCCAATTAATCCATAACTTCTGCACTGCATCCGTTCCCTAAATGGATCACATTTCCTGAAATCATATTTTCTTTATTTACACCATATAATTAACTGATCGAAGTTGAGTGTTATTAGGCTTGGGGTAAGAAAAAGAAAAGAATGATCGCGAGATCAAACATTGCACCTATTACATAAAAGATTGCCACTTATTAGTGATTTACCAATGAAATATCTTTCAGTCTCTCATTTACTTCGGTTATCAAAGTAATTTTTTTTGTTATAATTCAAGATAGAAAAGACATAAAAGCAAAGTGGGTAGGCACTAAAGACCTATGGATCGTCTTTTACCAGTTAAAAGAGATAGCTCGCTGCACAAAGCACCTAGCATTCACATAAAATCTGGGGAAGGTAACCGTTGTACAATGCATTTCGCATTTACGTAGGATTCCAGGAGAGTCGCACCCAAAGGATGTAATGTAGACAGTCTACCATAATTCAAGCATTAGTGATGTTAGAACATGCGAAGCGGAAGCAAGCATACAATCCAGGCATCAAATACATGTAAACTAGACAATGATATAATTACGAGATTAGAAATGTCACGACCCAAGTTCTCCTTCCGTGAACTATCAAGACGGCACCTAGTTTCTACGACTAGGTAAGCCTAATATTGCGAAAATGAAATAGAAACACAAAGATAACAACTAACGAATATAGTTAATAAGCAGAAACGATGCCGCTCGGCATATACAATAATCATTTTTCCCAAAACCCAGAATGTCGCAATGTCACAAGCTTCTAAGAGTTTCTAACTGCTCTATACATTTATGTTTGAAGAAAACAAGGGGAAAATCAACACAAGGGGATAGAAGGGACTCCGAGATCTGCGGAGGCGGCATATGTACCTTGAAGTCTCCTGAAGCAGCAGCCACGCAACTAGTCTCGAGGCTGGTAGATAGAACCTTGATATGCATACGGAAAACATGTGCAGGAAAGGGCATGAGTACACAACGGTACCCAATAAGTGCCAAGCCTAACCTCGGTCGAGTAGTGACGAGATCAGGTCAGGGCCCTACTGGTATAAATATAATGAAATAAGATAGAAAGAAATATTACAGTAAAATAAGTACAGAAATCTAACAGGAATAAAATTCAATGACAGCTAACAGCTCAGAACACAATTATAGCAATAGGGGATCTCCCGAAATACCATCCCGTAGTCCCAAACGTAAATGTGCAGGGAGATCTCCCGTAATACCGTTCCGTAGTCCCAAAGTAAATATGCAGTGCTGGGGATCTCCCTAAATACCGTTTTGTAGTCCCAGAGTAAATATGCAGCTAAATCAATATAAATAACAGTTACAGCAAGGAGACCTACAGTTTGGGCTAAGTTCACATCAAAGAAAACAAGTAATTTCACTAAACATGTTGCATAGAGTTCAAATATGCATTTAAAACACGTAGGCATGCTTTTTTAATCTAAACAATGTAGTTACATATGCTATTGTAGTTCAAACAAGGAGAAAACAGGTTACGACTTAGTGAAAAAAAATGGAGTTTTACAACAAATAACCCGCGTACGTACTAGTCACCTAACATACACGACGCTCATATATCAAACAGTACCACATCCTAAGGGGAGTTCCCCCACACAAGGTTAGGCAAGCCACTTACCTCGAACCAAGCTCAATTCAATCCGAAACAATGCTCTTTCCACGAATATCCGGCTCCGGATGGCCAAAATGTAGGCAAATCAATTATATAACGTAAATATAGCTACAAGCAACTAATTTAGCTAATGAGATAAAAGCTAAGGCAAGAAAATAGAAAAACACCCAAAAAGACTCCCTAGGCCCACGTCTCGGAATCGGGTAAAAGTCACAAATTATGAACACCCATTCACTCACGAGTCTAACCATACCAAATTTACTTAAATCCGATACACGATCAAAACCCCAAAATTCGGCCTGAGAACTTTTCTCAGTTTTCCCAATTTTCCACCCCAAATCCGAAATTAAATGATGAAATCAAGCATAGATTAGTGGGATATAATCATGAAGGAGTTAGGAATCATTACCCACAAACTTCCTCCGAAAATCTCTCCAAATTTTGCCTTCTACCGAGCTCTCAATCAAATTTAGTGTTATGAACTCAAACCCCGTTTTTTTGAACTTTAAATCTGCCCAGATACGCCCTTCTTCGCGAACACGACTACCACCTCGCGTTCGCATAGAACAAAAGTCCATTGCTTAATTTTTCCTCTTTCGCGAACGCGAGTTCCCTCTCGCGAACACGTAGCTTCAGCTGCCAGGACCTTCGCGAACGCGACCCTTTATTCGCGAACACGAAGAGCAAATTCCTGAGGTCCCAACTGTTCCACCTTCCTCTTCGCGAACGCGTTCAGCTCCTCGGTTCGCGATGCTTCGACTGGCCAACCTTCACGAACGCGGGCTCCCCTTCGCGAATGCGAAGAACAATTTCTCTTACTGACCCATCTCTTCTTTGCGAACGCGAGCTCCACTTTGCGAACAAATGTATGCAACAGAAAAACCAGTAAAATCTGCTATCCTTTTATGTCCCAAAAATGACCCGTTGAGTATCCCAAACACACCCGAGGCCCCCGAAACCTCGACCAAACATACCAACCAATCCTTAAACACCATAGAACTTAGTCAATCCCTCAAATCATATCAAACAATGCTAAAATTATGAATCACCCTCCAATCCAAACTTTAAGAACTTAAAACTTCAAAATTCTACAACCAATGCCGAAACCAACCAAACCACGTCCGATTGACCCCCAATTTTGCACACAAGTCATATTCAGCATACGGACCTACTCCAACTTCTCGAATCGAATTACGACCCCGATATCAAAAATTCCACTACCGGCCCAAAACTCCAAAAATTCGACTTTCGTCATTTCAAGCCTAAATGAGCTACAGATCTCCAAAACACAATCCGGACACGCCCCTAAGTCCAAAATCACCCAACTAGCTAACGGAATCGACAGAATTCCATTCTGGAACCATCTTCACATAGTTCCGACTACGGTCCGAATTCTAAGACTTAAGCTTCCATTTAGGGACTAAGTGTCCCAAAATACTTCAAAAACCAAAACGAAACCTCCCGACAAGTCACAATATCAGAAATAGATACGGGAAAAGCAGTTAATGGAGGATCAGGGCTCTAACTCTCAAAATGATCGGCCGGGTCGTTACAAGAAACAACTAACCTCTTAAAAACATTGCACGGGTCCTCCACAGAGCAAGAATCTAGGGCTGCAGTCTTCTGCTATGGTCCGAGTAAGACCTTGGACAAAATTGCTTTGAGTGGTCAAGAACAATACAACTCTAAAAGTGAGTTATTGGGTGAAAAATATCTTCCTTAAGTAGACATGTTTTTCAGACAAAAATAGGGCTCCCAAAAACGTGTAGGATTCTGCTTGTGCAAGTAGAATCCTACTCTAACTCTATCGGATGACTTTTCTCCCAAGTCACTTTTTACCCAAGTCAGTCCAGATTTTTACTAGGTATAGCAAGGACCACAGAAGTAATAAGAGGCTACTAATTATAGTATTAATTCAAAATTTTTCATGAATTAATTCCTAATATAATTAATTATAGTTTATTCCACTAAAAAAATTGCAAGAAGACTCCTCAATATGAATTTCAAAAATTCATTAACACTTATTTTAACTCCCCATGTTAAGATCCCAAATACCAGTTAATTAAATTAAATAACTGACAATTTAATTTAGTCAACTAATTAAATCCTTTATAATTTCGCTTAAACTATTTCATATGACATATACAAAATCCACCGACCGGGTTTTCACATGAAAACTTTTAAGCTTACATAAAGGGGTACCATTTAATGAATTAGAGAGAAAATATTTTATATATATTCAGTACAAAAATATCTTTTTTCTACTTGGTCTATTCAATATACACTAAGTATACTAGCACAAGAAGTTAGAGTAAAACCATTCCCATAATCAAGACAAATTATACTATAATCTTGTGCTACAGTCATCAAGATATTTTGCCCAATAATATCTTTGATTGTGGTCATTGTTTATTAATTATGAGATCCGACAATTTAATCTTCAATGTATGAGCTAAGACTCCATACACTAAATTTTCTACTACATAACTAAAGGACACATATGTAACATATGATGTATTTAAAATGGTACTTTATTGAATTCAATAAATTAAATAAATAATTGTTCCATAAAGTTTTGAAATTTATAGGTGTATTGAAGTTTTTCGCTCGGTTACTGTCAAACTTACGACTATTGGTATATCTCGTTTCATAGCCTCGGTTAGCTATGCTTATGCCTTTACTATATCTAGGTAGCTTATACTATACCACAACACTTACTCCGATTTATTATTACTGAGTTTTGCTATCCAACTCCAGGTTACTCTCTCGCTGCTTATCCTATATGTATAAATCTAAGTCCTTTTATTCTTCCTCATTACTGTTCATCTTAAGAATGACGGCCTAATCTCATCTCATACTTTGGAACATTCATCCATCTATTGTTGATTCACCTTAACGTTGATCTATAATCTACCACTGATAACTTGAAACCTCTTACATACTACATTGTCCTTAGGGCTCACGTCTCATCGGGGAACATTTGAAGTTATTTTCCTGATCCACCTAGGACGATACAATACTTCATTAACCGTATTTCATAGCATCCCAACGTAGTTCATCTTATGGGGATATTCTAATCCTGTGCAATTCATGAAATCCCTTTTTCTCTAAATTATTACTCAATCGAAGGCCTAAACGTCAACCTCTTATCTATCACAATTACACCCTTATTCTACCACTAGGGAAGCATTCCATCTCTTCTAAATTCTCCTAGTCTTAAACTCCTTTGAGTTCACTCAGGCTATACTGAGCTTTTTATAACTTATGGAAACCATCAGCTCTCTTGTTGTGATGGGTTTAATCCCCAGGACTTACTTATTCTCGTCACCTTCTCACTCACCTTTTCTTATCCTTACTTCTGTCTACCTAAAACCTTGTCGCTCTATCATACTTTAGCTTGCGACCTACATACATCTATTTATACTACTCGCAACCATCTTTTAGCTTGCTAGCACCATAGATTTCCTTATGTTATTCTGGAACCTCAAGCGAGACATCATATCGTCTCTAACTCTTCGTTACTCTCTTAACTAGACCCCTCTGTACCTGGAAACCATAGGCTGGAAGATATGCCACTGACTACACCACTATCATTTCTTGATGCAGAATCATCAACGTATACCAGCTGATCAGGTGGTGGTGCGTATATAACGCCGTAACATTTTCCCATATCACATATACATATCTACACGTATATAACGCCATCTGGTCATGGGTCAATGTACATGTATAAATGAATGCAATTCATTAGAAGTACGTCAATAAAATCTCTCGGAACGTCATAAGACCATTATGCCTTTGATTAATGTCATGAAGTAAACTTTATCATCTTACATATTTTCTGAGACCCTTGCACAGGAGATATAATAATATGTCACATGGGGAAATCAAGAACATAGACACCCCTAGTACTTCTATGAATAGAGTCATTTATGAAAGCTGTGTGTTTGCTCGTTTCGTTTATATCATTTGGATCAATGCCAAAAAGAAAGAAGGGATAGCCTTAACATACCTGTGTTGGCTTTCTTTAGTAACCACAAAGACAGCCCTTCCAACACACGTTAATCTACAAGACACGACAATAACGCAACAACAATGGATTAGCGGCAAGCTTGTAGAAGGTCGTTGATGATGGAGTGTACTTTTGTTTCCCTCTTTTAAACTTACTTCCACTTTATATTACTACGAAATAAACTTCGATCCGCCAACAACCATAAGGAATCAATATTAGAATCGTAAATTCAACGGGAGAATCAAGTAGAGAAAGCTTAATCTTTTCTTACCTAGCAAAATGTTTCTGCCCTCAATGACATGTTGTTCATCTTGCCATTATTAAATTACGTTGCTGGTCCTTTAGCAAACAACGCTATAGTAACTTAGTAATAGAGACCTTGTTCAACTTTACCCCAAAATGAACTAAGACATCCCACTTTGTCATAATCCTCATCCGTATGTTGTTGTAATTTTAAAACACATAAGCCTTTCACTTTGAGAATTTGGAGAAGCCTTAATAGAATCTTTCAACCCAAAAATGAGATAAGGTGCACATGGATAGTGCCACCACCTCCTTAAGTATAAGATTAGTTGGCAATTCGGTGCCATATCTTATAATCCCACATGGATTGTTGTCCCCCCTAATAATTATTCAAATCTCACTTAAATAATTATTCATAACCTTTAATTAATTTGGTTATTCATAACCTTTAATTAATTTGGTTAATCTCCCACTAAACCAATAATTAAGAAATTACCCACATAATCAAGAATATTCTCAAGTTACTCAAAAACCAACTCACTTTTAACACACTTTATACACCTGACTATCATAATCATCTGGTACCTTGTATGGCACTAGTCCATAATTACCGGTATTATATCTTGGACCATATCTTATCCCCAAATTTTCAAACTTCGACGAAACTCATTTTCTTCGATTTGCTTACCTTCTCATCTTCACGAATTTATGTATCACTTGTTTGAAATAGCGTAATACTTATAACCCCGAAATAATCCTGTCCCGGGCTTACGTCGATTATCTTTTGATGAAACTTTAACGTATGAAAATGCGGAATATAACATCTCATTTCCGAGCTTCCATCACTTTACTTATGGAGTACTTTCACGTACAAAAATATGGTGTGTAACAAAAACTCCATAAAACATCAGCAAAATAGACAGCCCAAAATCAACACGAAACAGCCCACAAAAAAATCCACTACAAGTCGAATAACTCGAACTCACGGCTTCCGATCACCGTCCCGTAAGTCTTAACTATTAGGAAATGAATTTATCAAACTTCCTTAATATTTAAAGCTTAAATACAGAAATTAGACGTTTTACTAACTATGAAGTACCTTCCAAAACTCAAACTACAAAGAAAAAGAGAGGCGATATAGCGATACTTACGTCGTAGGGGTCGTTCTAGAGTTATCGCTTCTTCATTTCGTACCCGGGATGTTAATATTCTTGGAAAATCTTGGTCGTAGTATATGTAAAAGTGATGAAAGAGACGACATAAGGCCTATATAAAACTTTTTTTTTTCAAAAGTCAAAGAGGTGCTAGCTTGGCACCCTATTATTGGCTCTTCTTCAGACGTTTATATCTTTTTATCCGGATGTCGTATGAACGAAAGATTAAGAGTGTAGAAACTACATTCCATGACCTTCCATTTGGTATATAATATGTCTCAAAAGAACCTCATATAAAACACGAAATGTATTGTTCAAAAAGCTTTAGTGACACACATACTTGTCACCTATGCAGTCTGCGCAGTCTCGCAAAACTGCATATATCTCTCTACTCCTGTGCTGTATTGATAAACGGTTTAAGTGTTAGAAAATAGACTCGTAGATATTCAATTTGGTAGGCATATCATCCCCTAATTCCAAGTATATTGGGAGAAAAGCTCATCTACATTTGACCTAAATTTCAGCATATTTATGAATGTAACTTGTGAAGATCTTTGCCAACTTTTGTTCCACAATGCACTTGACTTCAAAACATAACACACGACTATCATAAGACAAAATAACTCATAAAATAACCTCCTTATCATTTTGATCACCCTAGTCTTACCCCAAAAGTACATGTTATAATATTCTCAACTTGTCGACTTTCGACGAAACTTAATTTCTTCAATTGGTTTAGCTTCTAAGCCTTCCAACCCTCTTGGTACTTGCAGTCCATGATCTTAAATATTTTTAACCTCCAAGTTAACATGATTAACTTACTTTATGTAATTTCATAGTTGATCTCATTTCAGAGCTTACATCAATTGACTTACGACGTACTCTCACATATGAAACTATGGGGTGTAACATCATTCCTCTCCCCCCCCCCCCCTTTGGAATGCACTTACCGGTATCATAACTTATAGCACTTATGAGTACTTTAGTATTTTCCTCGACATCTAGGCAACTATTCTGTGAATAATTCCAAAGGCCAGGGCATTCCCCCCTTTGGCCTCTTCCTCACACCTCGACTTATGGTCAGAATTGTTTCAATCTCGTAACTGTTGCTATCTTATGTAATGCAGCCTGTATGACTCTGTCCTTATATGTGCGCCTATGTGACTCTTCTATCCTTTTTCCTTCAGATTTTATCCAATCTCTAGGCCTCATTTTGTGAACATATACAGAACTATGACAAGCTGCCCTTCTGGGAATCTATAGGTGTATTGAAGTTTTTCGCTCGGTTACTGTCAAACTTACGACTATTGCTATTTCCTATTTCATAGCCTCGATTATCTATGCTTATGGCTTTACTATATCTAGGTAGCTTATATTATACCACAACACTTACTCCGGTTTATTATTACTTAAGTTTGCTACCCAACTCCAAGTTACTCTCTCGCTGTTTATCCTATATGTATAAATCTAAGTCCTTTAGTTCTTCCTTATTACTGTTCATCTTAAGAATGACAGCCTAATCTCATCTCAAACTTTGTAACATTCATCCATTATTGTTGATTCACCTTAATGTTTATCTATAATCTACCACTGATAACTTGCAACCTCTTACATAATACATTGTCCTTAGGGCTCACGTCTCATCTGGAACGTTTGAAGTTATTTGCTTGATCTGCCTAGTACGATACAATACTTGTTTAATCATATTTCATAGCATCTCAATGTAGTTCATCTTATGGGGGTATTCTAATCCTGTACAATTCAAGAAATCCCTTTTTCTCTAAATCATTACTCAATCGAAGGCCTAACCATAATCCTCTTATCTATCAGAATTACACCCTTATTCTACCACCAGGGAAGCATTCCATATCTTCTAAATTCTCCTAGTCTTAAACTCCTCTAAGTTCACTCAGGCTATACTAAGCTTGTTATAACTTATGGAAACAATCAGCTCTCTTGTTGTGATGGGTTTAATCCTGAGGACTTACCTATTCTCATCACCTTCTCACTCACTTTTCCTTATCCTTACTCTTGTCTACCCATAACCTAGTCGCTCTACCATACTTTAGCTTCTGACCTACATACATCTATTTATACTACTCACAACCTTTCTTTAACTTTCTAGCAACATAGATTTCCTTATGTTATTCTAGAACCTCAAGCGAGACATCATATCGTATCTAACTCTTCTTTACTCTCTTAACTAGACCCCTTTATACCTAGAAACAATAGCCTGGAAGATATGCCACTGACGATACCACTATCATTTCTTGATATAGAATTACGGCGCTTCCAACCCTCTATCTGATATATGGATTATTCATAACCTTCTGTTCTTAGGGATCTCGTACCTTCTTCACCTGTACCTTACTTACATTTAAATATTGCATAGCATCTTCTATCTATTTCATAACCTCCCTTCCACATAGGTGGAACTCACGTCCACACCTTAACGCTCTACTATAATATTTGCACCTCATGTGCATACACAATGCAGCAGGATCTTCATACTGACTTCTTATGAGGTTGGTACTCTTCTAACTAGATTTATCGTAGAGCTATTATAGAATATGGCTGTTATACTATCTCTTTTGTACCTCTGATATTTAGAGTGATTCTACAATGTTCTGAATCACAATTTCTATACTCATCGGGCTCTAATAATCAGACTCCTAATTCAATTAGCTAATGTAACTCTTTAGTTTCCTCTTCTATCTCAGCCTTTAAGGAGGCTTACGTTATATTCTGATCTGCGTCTCAGGGTATTAGTTATTACTTTACCCCTCGTGGACTCTATGGAACATCCATAATTTAACCTTCTAGCAATTCAAGATTTTGTCTGTGATGTGGCTCAACTCTTTCTGGTAACCTATACTACAGTCTCCTATAGTTGTATCATTGTTAACATATATGCTGCATGGATAACACTCCAAAATCTTAAGTGTGTTCATAACGTAACTAACTCTAGGTCATAGATCGAATAATTTCTTTTGGGCATTCTCAGCTTTCGTTAAAAGTAAGCAATTACCTTTCTTGGTCGTTCTGCCACTTGTTGCATTAATACTTGGCTTATCTTAGTGCCCACATACTCGGTTGCCTTGATTGCCGCTATTATTCCACCCTCCTTGATTGTTGTTGTTGTTGCTCCAATTGTTATTGTTCCCGTTCCAATTGCCTTGATTGTTACCTTGGTTACCCCAATTGTTGTTTTGGTTGTTGTTGTTTCAATTGCCACCACTTTGTTGATTGTCCCAATTTCCTTGGGGACGCCATTGTTGATTCCCTTGATTTCCTCTATTCCCTTGGTAATTATTGACATATTGACATTCTTCGCTTTGCTCATTAGCACTCATTCGAATAACCACGACCATCATTATTGTTGTCAAATTGCTCACCATTTCCTTGAGGTTGTTGTTGCCCTCTTTGCCTCCTTTTTAACATAGAAACATTTTCCATTGCATTGACTTGGCGCGGGTTTTGGACTTGTTGCAATTGCGCCTTCGCCAATTGATTCATAGTTTTTGTAAGCTCGGCAATAGCTTGGCCATGATCATACAATTCCTTGTGCAAATGGATGAGCGTGGAGTCACCTTGGGGCACATTTGCTCGACTTTGCCATGCCGAAGAGGTGTCGCCCATTTCATCCAAAACTTCACAAGCTTCATCGTAAGGAAGCTTAACAAAATTGCCTCCGGCCAACTGGTTCACAATACATTGGTTAGTAGTGTTGATGCCCCGATAGATGGTTTGTTGAATCATCACCTCTGTCATATCATTATTTGGGCACTCTTTCACCATAGTTCTAAATCTCTCCCATATCTCGTGCAAAGGTTCCGTGGGCTCCTGCTTGAAGGCTAGAATTTCATCCCGAAGAGCCGCCATGTGACTTGGAGAAAAGAACTTGGCAATAACTTTGTCCGCCAATTCATCCCACGTTGTGATGTAATGATTTGGAAGCCTTTCTAACCAATCCAATGCTTTACCCCGAAGAGAGAACGGGGAAAGCCTCAATCTCAACGCATCCTCGGACACTGCTTGCTAACCCAACATGTATCTACGAACCCCTTCAAGTGCTTGTAGGCATTTTGATTGGAGGCGCCCGTGAAATACCCTCG